TTTGTATGTGTGTTCCTTGCCTCTTCTTCTAAATCAGACTCGAAGATGAGTAAAAACCTTAAATGAAACTGGAACATTCGTTCATTTTTGTTCTCTCTTTCTTCTCGTCCGATTCTCCTTTTTTTGAAAAAAAAAAGTGTCAGCTGAGAGGGAAAAAGAACAGATAACTAGGCATGTGTTGTCGGCATAGTTATTTGTCAGTTGCATCTTTTTGGTAGTTAGTGGTGTCCAGTCAACCCTCCTCCCTCATGTTATCATACGGGAGAAGAATAAATGTTTGAATGTATGTTTAATATGTGTTTGAGGAGAAAATTGGTGGTGGAGGGCAGTGAAAATATATAGGCATACTTTTTTTTGTTGATAAGACGTCACAAATTCTCTTGGATGCAATAGATTTTGTTAACTGTATTCTTCCTTGGAAGAGAGATTCTATTGTATTTAGGAATAGGACTTTCAAGAAACTAGTTTCGTCTAAAATTCTAGAATTCAGAACGCTTGGTTGCTAAGGTGATTATCTTCTCACCTAGCTACGTTTGCGTCTTCTGAGTGGACTTTAAATCTAGATTCCCAGGTTCTTAGGATTGGGCCTAGGACCAAAACTGATGCAGTCCTTTAAAGCCTAGCTCTCATTGTCATGTTGTTTTCAATCCAAACTATCTCCATAGCAACAAAGTAACCACCCGAAACGGCTCATTATGCTAAACGGTGGACCCCTATTGTTGGTGAGAACCTTGTGTACACCTTGAGTAAGATTGCTTTGCACCAGATGTGACAGGTCAAAATCTGGTGCGTGTGTGCAACAGAAGACGGCACTCCATCTGACCCTAAACGATATCACGTCACTCCTCTAAACACAGAGGTCACATCTCTATTGTTACTACACGAACACCTACCTCCTCCGTCGGCCCTTCCGAGCTCATAGGTCCGGTCATTAGATAATCCCTCTTCTCCTCCTCCCGCATCCTCATCTTTCATATACTTCTTAAGTAGATGAAAGGGTCAACCTGTTTCTTTTTTTTTCGTACTGTTTGTTGTACACTTCTCTAGACATTTAAAGAAACGCTGCTGAACCATTTTCTAGAATTATAGATGAGGTCATTGATAAGGGACGAGATGGTGGCGGGGGAAAAAAAGAGTTTCCGACAACTATTAGTACTGTTTGTTGACACTTTTCGTTGTGATCATCATGCGCCTATTTGTGATAGTGAGCGAGCGAGAGGTTTTTGATTTTCCGACAAATTTCCATCCCACCAAACACTTGTATAACAACCAAATTGATACAAATCGGAACGACCACCAGTACTGAGTCAGTTAGTCATCTTCTCGTTTTGCCATGACGAATAACCTTGAAAACAATTCTCAAAACAAAAACGTTCACTCTTCTTCTTCATTTTCTGCTTCTGATTCCCACTTTCTCAACCCAGTTCGTCGGTTGTTCCCACGTAACATACTCTCTCCAGGTGTGTATGTCCTTCGGAAATGGTGTAAGTTGCCCTTCGAATCTATTAAACCGTCTTCTTTTTATTCATCTCATTTCCACTACTAACACACACCGCCAAAATGACGACTCATCGACACATTTCGCATATTTCCATCCCGCGTGGGGTGGCGGTGGCGCCCCTCCGAGTAATACCATAAAACTTTTGTGTGTCCGGTGTGCGCTGAGCGCGTCCTCTTCCATCGTTATAGCGGAAAAAAAGGTTGCTATTACTGAAAAGAACCAAGGCGAGAAAGCATGTCTAGATTCTCGACCGATTCATTCCTTCATTGCCTCTCTTCTTCGATTGCATAATAATGCATTCATCAAATCAAACACATATTGTGTGAGAAGCATCCTTCTTTTCCTTTTCTACAAATGTTCCTTCTTCATCTTCTCCATATATGGTATTTGTCCCGATACGGCTTCTCCATTTTTTTCTCTCGATTCTTCTATTGTTACAGTGTAATCTACAATAACCCATTTCTCTAGAACTAGTTGACTCTCGGCTGTACAACAAGGTGCAAATAATTGTTCTTCTCCTTCTCCTCTTTTGTAAACCGTTCGTCAGCCTTTTCAACATGTATCACTAGTTTTTGCAATGTGTGCATTCTTTGGAACAAAAACGTTTGATAACACACAGCCTAACACAACATTTGGGAGGGAGTGTTTGTTTGGCGACACATGGGGAGAGGTGTCCTATTCGATCACTATCTCGTTTGAACTGTCAATTAATGGTTCTCAATGCTAATTCGTCTTCTTTTTAGGCAGAAGATACCGTGAAACCTCGGCCCCCACACTGTCAAGTTTGGGCTCAATTATCTCAGTTTTTATGCGAGATATCAAAAAAGAGTCCACTGACAAAATGTGCATCATAATGTCACCAACATTTTGTTAGTTGACACATTTTGGATAAATTCCACAGGAAATGAGATAATTGAGCTCAAGCTTGAGAGTATGTGGGCCCTTCTATTAGAGGTTTCACGGTAGCTGTGCTCTATATTTTTATGTTCTAGGTAGTTCTTGAATCTTTCATGCTTTTAAAACCCATAAAGCTAATTGCTAGAATCAAATTTGAGGTTTGGATTTTTTAAATTCAGTCAGAAATCCTAGAATTTATGATTTATTGGATCGGAAAAGTTCCTAAGCCATCTCAACTCTACGTAATCAATTATTCATGTTCGTTTCAACTCCAAACTTCCCTATCAATCTCCTTATCACCTATTCAATCACCATCAACACCAAATGGTTGTCTCTCTTCGCTGCTTTCCCATTGCTAAATATCTTTCATTCTTCTTTTTTGCTGCTTTTTCTTCTTATCACCACCTCCTCTCCGACTTCTTCCCGCACCCTTATCAGCTAGTCGGATCTTTTGCGCGACAGCGTAACACCGACAATAAATGAACAACAAAAAAAACTACTGGGGGCCTCTCTTTTGCGACGAACGAAACGAACAAAAGTGCGCCCTCTGGCGCCGCGGCGCGCGCGCAATCGTTTTTCGTTTTCTTCAGCGGAGGCGCGACACCGTTTCTCCGTTTCTATACTTGTCTCTTGAAGATGAACGGTTGTATTGGTAGAGGAATAAGGAAGAAGAAGAAGAATTAGAAGGAGTGTTGCCTGCCGGCTTTTGCGCGAGCGACAAGCGATGCGTTTCGTTTTCATCCCGACCTAACACTAACCGCCACACACATACACTTATACACACTGTCAGGCATCTTTGAGAGACATGCCCTGATGCTGCTGCTGTTGGTGCGGTGGTGGGTGCGCGCAATCGGACAGATAGAGACAGACGTTTTATTATTATAATGCTACGCAGATGAATACGTCTTTATCCGCCCTCCCACCTCTCCTCCTCCTACTTTCATTCCGAAGTCCACACTACCTCATTTCCTTTTTTTGAGATTCGGCCCGACGGCTGAAGGACAAGAGTGGTGTGTATATATACAGGCTTTTGATTTCAAGGATTACCATGAAGTGGTGATCCTAGAAGGATCTAGAACTTTATTCTTTCACCTTTCGATCCTACCGTAACCCAGAAAACTAAGGTTCTGGAACCCTTAAGGAGGGCTTTGATTTTCAATTCTACCGTAACCATAGGATCTTGAGAAGGTTGGGAAGCCTAAATTTCGTTTTAGTTTTTCAGTTGCTCGACGGAGCACAAATCAATGTCATGTCCTAATTTAGGCTTAGTGTAGCTAGATGAGTTTCTTAGTTTTATAAACGAAATCTAGACTTCAAAAGTCTGATATGGTCTGTCTAGTCAACCTTCTCGTATGAGTTCAAGTTTTCGGAGCTCTCAAAAAACTGCGACTCCAGATTCTAAAACTTTAGTTGTTGACCTCTAGAAATCCTTATCTAACCTAGCTGGAAATCATCGAATCAACATCGGCACTGCGCGAGCAACGATCCTTGTGTTATTAGATCCTATCTCATAACTCTCAATTACCCCCTTCTGTTGACCTCTCCCCCCTCATACACACATAAAATTTACAACCGACACGCACTCCCCTTGTTCCCACAAATTACATCCCATTTCTAGGCGAACGATCCCATGGCAACAGTAGGAAGAAGAGCCCACCCAGTTATTTAGTTCAATGATGACCCGACCTCTCTCACCATTCCTTCTCTCTATTGCCCCCATGTACACAAAAGGGCACCACCCCATCAGAAGGAGAAGGAGGAGTACCCCAAAAACACCACCACCTGCCATCTGTACACCCATTCCCTTTTTGCCTCCTCCCCCTCTTATTTCTTTCCTCCCGGTTCCTTTCTCTCTCAACAAGATAACCTTCAAAATGACTCTGCTACAACACAGATACATTACTTTCTACTAGTTGTAGTAGCCTCCTCTACAGATTCTCGAAACCATTCGCCTCATTCATTTTGCCTCGTTTTTTGGCTTCAGAAGAAGCGAAGTCGATGGTGACAAGCAAGGAGAAAGCAATTATACGTATTGAAAAAGAGAGAAAGAAACCGGCCGACACCTATTCCTCTACTCAAAGCCCATTACTTCTTATTCAGTCATTTCATAGAAAGTGAACACTGACGAACACGTTTTAAATATCTGATTCGAGATCAACTTATTCTTCCTTTTTTGGTATTTCTTGATTTTTCTTTGATCACTGTTTTCTTGTGTACTCTCGAGAAGAAGCCGTTCCACTTCGATTTCTACCTCTTCTTTTCTTTTTTTTCACTTTTTTGCAACAAGTGTAATTCTCTTTCCTATTTTCTCACATTTTGTCTTCAATGGTTATCAATCAGCCTCGCTCTCTTCTCACACCAAATAACCTGTCTTTTTGGTCTTTTCTCGGGAGAAGCTTCTTCTTCTTTCTCCTGCCATTCCCTCTCTCTCTCTTATTTTTTACAGTCTTATTTTCTATTCCCAAAAACATACATACATATATGTATTAATTCTATGTCTTTCTAAATCTTCCTCCGTCCGACGCTTTCACCTTTTTTTTCCTTTTTCTTATTCTTCTTTTCCTATTCCCTTTCACCTCTTTTAATCTTACAGATTCATAAAATGAAATCCGCGCCTTACACCACCACTTCTACATCATCGCATCATTCATGGATGCCGATTTCTCTTCGAGAGCCACCAGCCAAATTCCAGAAAATCAGCACCACTGCCTCGGCTCCAATCCATCAGAGCACTTCGTCACTCAAAATGGTATGTGTCCTATATTTTCCAATGTTTTCTCCGTAATAAGAACAATCCGGGTGGAAGAAAGACAACAATAGCCCATTAATCGTTTATGCGCGATGAGGGTAGTCGTCGGGTACAACAAGTGTGACCCGTGAAAAGTCCTTGACAAGAACATCTGTCCCTTTTAAAGAAGAAGAAGAATCTAACCTCATCTTTATTTCAGAAGACAACGATCACAAAGACCAGAAAGCGAGTCTCGCCAAATCAGACAGAACTCCCACCACTTCCGGCCATCTCCACTTTCTTCGATTCTGGATCCTCGTCACACAGCTCCAGCTCCAACTCTTCTCTCGGATCGTACTGTCAATTCTCCCCTGACGGAAACTACACCATCTACCATCTCCCAATGAACTATATTCCATATGTGCCGGAGACAACCACTGCCTCGACTTCCACGAGTGCCATGGCCAGTCCGATCATCCATTGCCCACCTATGTCAGCGGATGAGCACAAGCCAGTCAACCAGCCGCTCTTCATCCAGACCGCCGATCCCTACGACTACTCGGCTCCAGACCTTACCGGTGGATACCCCAGCAGTGCCACCATCAATGCCAGCCAGCTTCTTCTCCGTCCGGTCCCAAATGGACGTATTTAGTTGCCCCCAAAACTTATTCCACCTGTTTCGTGAACCCTGTTATTTTTTAATACCGTTTTGTGACCCGCCACCCACCTTCATTCTTGCTTTACTTTTTTACCTCTTTTCTAACCATCTTTCCTCTTTTTCTTCCATTTCTCGTTCTACTTTATTTCGGGTCCACCAAACGACCTCACATTGACATTTCGAGTTTTTTCCACTTCTACCGCTTTTCCTATCTTCCTTCTCAACGTACCATAGATCTACGCGGGCCAACAACACAACTCCCTCCCCAATCCTTGCTCTTTTCTTTACCGCAATTCTTGCTTTATGTGCCCATGTATTTTTCCCACCCCATACAAACTCTACAATTTTCTACGGTCTTGGTGTACAATTCCTATTCTTCATCCCCCAAAGCTTCTCACTCATCGTTCTCTCACACGGATTCCTCATTCCCCCCAAAACATTGTATTTTTCTCTCATGCGCTGGCTGTTTTAATTTCTTTTTTGACCATAATAAAACGAGTGTTATTGTGTGATAGTTGAGCAAACATTCAGAAAAAAAGAAACGAAAGAATGATAAGATAACAGAGGAAACTAACCGACAATATGCTGACCAGGTGGAGATATTCGGGTGATTGTTACACTTCGAACATTCGCATCTTCGTCAACGTAGATTCGGCTGTCTGGAATATCATGTACATTTTGAGAGCAAATTTTTAGGTGGTTTATCAGTAAATGTGAGAAAGTGAAACCACATTTTTTGTCTGGAAATTCTTTTCCAGAAGCTGATACGGAAAGACCTGTAATAGAAGGGCCCCCACAATGCCAAGTTTGAAGAACCGAGAAAAATAGGCTCAAAGTTAGGGGACTTTTGTATCACAGGGTATTCATTTTCAGTCCATTTCAAATGTCAATTTTCCACTTTTTTGCATACTGTCTTATATTTGCTCTGGTGGAAATCGTTATTCACCTTTTCAGGTTTCGAAAAAATCAGTCAAAAAGTTTCTTGGTCATTTGTGGCAATATTTATTTCGGTTAACTGCATCTGGATTCAGATGCTCCTATTGTACGAGGATCTTATACTTCAGTTAATATGAACAAACTTTATAATAATTTGAGGCTTCAAAGCTTCTCTGATTCTCCAAGCCGCGATACTCGGATTACTGTAGAACTCATAGTTTTCCGAGATCTTCAATTTTCGATACACCTATCGCATTTTTCCCCTAGTAACCCTTTTCGAAAATACCATTAGGTCAGCTCTTCTTGGGAAAATGTTCGAACTATAAAATATCGACTACCGTAACCCTTTCGCTTAATTAGCTTATGTAGTGTTCTGTTCTAGAATCAATCATAAGCGCAATTTTCTCATCAACAAGTTCATTTCTGTTTGTTTCTGACCGTAATCTATTCGAATACTTCCGATCATAATGATACATACACGTACAGTAGTACAAACAAAGGATAGCTTTCTCTCTTGTTTCCCAATTCATCTCCCCCCCCCCCCCCCCCCCCCCCATTAATCACTCTCTTTCACTTTTCCGATTGGGTAACAAGAAGGCGAAAATAAACAGAAAAAGAAAAAGAAAAAGAAGAAGAACATACAAGTGTGTGGGGTGTTTGAGACGAACAGATGATTAGCGACACGTGTGAAATCGGGTGCCTCAGTGTCTGATGAGGAGACGACGGCCGATTGGGACGGTTTGCAGTATTTGATGATTAGACGGAGAGTAAGAAACGAGAGAAATGAGATCACGATAACAGGTGTCGCAACAGTAAATACGTCCATTCTGAAATATGAATCAAAGATGTTGGAAAATTTATTAATTTGCAATTCATACAGTAATATTTAAAAATCATGAACATCAATTGTTAAGATAGGGAAACTCCGAGAGAATCGTAGAATGAAAACTTCACAGTATACCGGAAAAACGCTAATAGAATGCCACCCAAACCGTAAACTTCGAGCTCATATATCCCATTTTTTATAAAAGATATCAAAAAGTGATAAAATAAGACAATGCTAATCATAATATCAAAAGGTTTTGTCAGTTAACCACTTATATTTTTCGCAGAAACCGAGATAAATTGGTCCAAAATTGAAAGGTATTTACGGTACACAGTATCGGACAAGAATATATTATAACTTTATGTCCTGAAAAAACAATATAATTTTTGTAATTGACATAGTTATCTCCAAAGTCTTGAATTAGAATAGTAATACAGGGAGCTGCAAAAGTTCTGCAACCAAAATTTGACTCAAGCTGACGCAGTTTTTGTGCGTTGATTTTATGTTCATGTTTTTCCCAGTTTCTTCATCAGTAAATGTGCAAAGTTTCATGTTTCTACCTCAATTTTTACGAAAATAGCGCTACTTTTTGTAAGCCCCCTTTGATGTTTTTCCTGAGCTTCTGGCACGCGCTTGACCACCGCGTTCATTGATGGGACACTGTTCAGCTTAGAGGCAAAACTCAAATTTGAAAATTTCCGTGTTTTACCACAATGATCTAGGCTATCTAACAGTAATAGTCTGTTGATTCTTTGGGCAGCCAATCCTCAGCAAACCATGAGTTTTGAAGGAATCACTTCAAATGGGGGAAAAATGGCTGTTTTGGTGGAGCCAGGTGTACAAGTGTAACAAGGATATTACTTTTAGTGAAAATTATACTGCCTCACTATTAGTTTTGTCACAAATCTCTTAAATAAAGTCCCGTTAAAATTTGAGGCTGATTCGACTAATTTCCGAGAAGTTATGACTTTTGGTTGCAAAACTTTTGCAGCACCCTGTAAGTTTTGTTGGAGATTCGCACGAAAGTTGTCAATTACAAAATAGTAGATGTAATTTTTGAAGAACATTTTCGAATTTTTCGAAAAATTTACAAAATCGAGACCACTCTCTGAGAACGTCAAAGTTGACTATCTTAAACTGAAAGTGACAAAATGTGACTTTTTTTGACAAAACCTTGAATACGGAACAATAGATTCAATACAGTAATTATCGCTGCGTTCGTAGCGCTAGAATCTAAACTCTCAAGAAAACTGAAAAAAAAAAACAATTAAAAACGAGGCAAATCTGTGTTCTCATCGACACGAAGTGTCTTCAGTAGTCTCTCCTCCTCGATACGACACGTTGTCAGGAGATACATCCGATTTAATAGAAAATGAATCTCGAATATTATCCTCTTTTCTTTCTCATCCCCCCGAATGTGTCATTTTTTGTATATTAAAAATCTGTTATCACTTCATTGGGTTCCTATGAAAAAAAAAAGTTTTACAGAAAAATAAAATAAATCCGAGGATGATCCTAGCTGAGGTGATGGACCGTCGTGTGTCTTCGAGAAGTTAGTGTCGTTCGAGTGAACATCGATTGCTCCGGCTTGTGATGAATTGTTCTGGAAATTTGGAAATGGTTAGAGAAGACAACATAGAATAAATAGGGAAAACTAGATCAAATTTCGACAGATCACTTTTTTTCAGAATAGAGGACAGTTTTAATAAACAGTTTTGAAACTAAAACTTAAAATCATATTCTTTTACGTTAGGAAGTCCAAAACGCCCCTTTCCATTGTCCAAGGAATCTCATGAAATATTGCGAAATATTTTTTAATAAAAAAAAATTGAAAGAAATCTTGGAAAACTTTAATAAATCCCAATATATAGATCAGAACTTTACTAGTTATTAGTTAAAATTTCTCTTTAAAATGGTAATGTCTCCTACGAACTTAAAAATTCCAAAAGCTTCGGTCAAGGGGTGTTGATGGGAAGAGGGGTTTCCATTCTTTATGGGAACGGAAGAAGATGTTCGAAATTCGAACGGATAATTAATTGGCGGCACCAGATAAAGTCAATAACATCATCAAAGATAACCCATCAACTCCGGACCGAAGCGAAATAGTGGCAAGTGAAGTGAGTTTATATACCCGGGACAAAGGAAGCGACCGACGTTTTGAGAGAAATGGCGGAACATGCAATATTTCGAAAGAGAGAAAAAAAAACTAGTTCGTCCTCTGCGAACATGTGTTAGCGGTATTTTTTAAATATTAAAAAACCAAATGTTTCAAAAAAAAAAGGAACAAAGCTTCGCTTCTGATAACAGTTTACCATAAAACCTGTAATAGAAAGGCTCCCTAACTTTCAACTTCGAGCGAGTTTTTCTCGGTTTCTGTCAAAGATATAAAAAAAGTGGTCAACTGATAAATTGTTTGTCATAATATAAGAAGTTTTCGCCAGTCGACCATTCTTTGATATCTTGCATAAGAATTGAGATAATCGAGCTCAAACTGGACAGTGTGGGGGTACTTCTATTACATGTTGTACGATATACATTCAATCCGAACCTCTAAAATAACTTATGTTCTATATGGACATGAAAAAAACTCAAAAATGTCTCCATAAACCTACCAAATCACATCTCCTCTCTCCAAACAGTAACTTGTCTTACGACAGTTATTGTATCGACTTTATTCGATCTGACTCAGAAACGAGAATTTAAAAATGAAATGAGAAAACTTACTTGATCCCCAAAAGATGATAAAAATGAGCACGAAGTTCTTTTCGAAACCGAAATGCGATTATCGTATTGACAACTGACAGGAATCCAGGCATCGCATAGGTCACTGCCACCTCAATATCTCCCCATTCAGTGATATCCCATCGAATGGTTAACATCACAACTGCTGAGAAGCAAGAAGAATTATTGATGTTCCGGACATGGCCAAAATCATCCCAAGTTTATCATCTTGAGATCCGTATTTGCTTTTTGTTAATGTCTGAAATTAAGAAAAATAGAAAGTCTTAGTCCATGTAATCTAGTGGATATCTACCGTCATTACCCTGCGAGTCGCCCATACGATGAGGGTGGAGAAGAAGGCGATGACGTAGGCAAGGACGATGAATGTGAAGTGAAATGTGGCGTACCTAGAAGTTATTCTATTTTTAACTAGAACTTTGATTCATTGAGATCATGTTCTAGATCATTTTGAAAATAACATTTGAAAATTAAAAGTGCGAAAATTCTTCTGATATATCAGCATGATCAAGCTACTTAAAGATCAAAAGGATCCTTTTTTAATTCAAAGAGAACGAGAACAAAACAAAATCAAAAGTTAGTTTTTAAACTTACCACCTACTGGTACTCGTAATAATTGCACAATGTCTCGTACCAACCACTCTATCCCCATCCACTCCGATCACAGATGCTCCGGCAGCCAACAGTGTTAACTTAAGACCATAAAACTTGTATGCTTGAACTGTACTTCTCAACTTACAACTCCCCACACCGGAACCATTCCGCATAAGATGTATTTAAAATTTTGAGTACACATTCTTTTATAAACTGCTGGTTTGCTGACAGCCATAATTCTTTCGAAAGATAAAAACATTGTGCAAATCGATGGAAGTTGAGTTCCAAGGATAAGCGATTGGGGCCAATATTTCTGAAAGTTACGGAGATAAATTTCGTAATTTAAATCTCGGTGGCTCACTGTGAAGAAGCAAGCTCGGACTGTAATGGGTACAGCCATCACTCCAGTCAACAACTGATGACCCCGCCCAGTACCCAATAACACATAGCTGATCGCTGAAATTCAGATAACAATCCAGATAACAGGTACAGTAACTTACCATCAAGAAGTTCACACATATCAAGGACCAGATAAAGAATATATTTTCTCCTTAAATCTCGACTCGTTAAATATAAAGTGATGGTTGTTAAACTGCAGATTATGGAAATGGTTCCTGGAAGTAAAATCGTGAATTACACATCTTTGAATATAACAAAAAACCTATAGAAATGTACAAAATACACATAAAAAGGGTTTGCGCAAAGTCGACTTGGAAGTCTCCCATTTGATGGTTGTCTGAAATCTTGAACACTTTATAAGTCACAAATCTAGTGGAAAAAATTCTGTCAGCACAAATGAAAAATGCGGAAAAAGCATAGATGATTGTGTTAGGTATATTTTGTTCTCTCGCAAATTTATGATATCAGTTTAATTTGTCAAGGTACCTGTCATGGCGAATTCAACATGGCGGTTAGTCATTTTCCAGAGTAGGCAGAGCTAGACAAAATACGAATTCAAAAAAGAAATCTAATTTCTAGACTCCAGATTGGCCTATTTATATACTTTGAGGCTTAATCTCAATCAGATGACTACGTTGATTTTGAGAACTCAACGAGAAGAAGTGAGTGCTAATTTGAAAGTGTTTCAATTGGATCACACGTTTCTTCAAAATCTGGGGGTAGGTGATAACCGGGAGATCTCAGAAAAAAATATTTAGAGGAATTCCGGAAAGATCGTTTAGAGAGCTGAAATCTGGAAATAAGAGTTTTCGCACAGGATTCTAGTCTATAGAAAACGCTATGAATTCAATTCATGGATTCATAGACTCTAATTGTTCCGTTCCTGGAATCCCATTTTGAAAAAAAAAACAGAAATCAGTGACGCCAAAACTTCTCCCAGGAACTTTTTAGGTACTGCCAAAATAAGGAATCTCATTTTATATGGAAGTCAAACAGGAAAACAGGTGAAATCAAAGAAAGGTGAGGGCAAAAACTGTTTAAAAGAGTTTTATAGTCAGGTGATTTTATTACGAGTCTTGACTAAAATCTAGACAAATTAATGTAATTTAGAATTACAAAAATTTATTAAAGGTGGGAGGACAGGAGATTTTACGAGGGATTTTTGGGGCCAAAGTATGCATTCAACCGTAACGGCGTACAACGCTTAATGTCACTCTGCGTACATCTGTCGTCCTCGCCTTTATGTATGCAATCGGGAAGCCGCTTTCCCTTTGCCCGTGTAGCTCAGCCGGTAGCGGCGCCGCACCCTCAATCAACGCCCTCACAAGTTCAACTCCTCGAGGGGCATATTTGAACGGAATTTCGAGAACATTATTTTTTTCATGTCCCCCCACCTTTAAAGCCGGTTTTGGTTTTCTCAAAAGATCATACTTGTAAAATTCCGTGCCGGGCCTGGGGAAATTTTCAAGGCCCGGGCCCGGCCCGGAAGGCCCGGTATCAAAAATTCTGAATTTTTGAGTCAAATTTCGAGCTCTCAATATAATTTTCTCCTTTTTTTTGTTTTTTTGGATTGTTTTTCTGTTTGATCTAAAAATCGAAAAAACTCGAAAAAAATTTTTTGATCGAAAAAAATCACATAAGGGTCCCCCCTTATGTGTTTTTTGAAATTTTCAAACTCATGAAATGACGGGCCCACCGGGCCTTCGAAATTCGGGAAAAAGCCCGGCCCGGCCCGTTACAAGTATGCAAAAGATGAAAAAAGGGCTTGAAAATACAAGGTGGCGCATAACTTTGGACAATGACCTCAGGAATCGCTTTGAAAAGTTCATTAGCTTAGAATGAAATATAAAATTATATTTCTACAGATTTTCGTGCTTCCAAGATACATATATCTAAAGATATACCCGTTTTTATCAGTCCGGACGAAATTATGTGCTTCAGAATTACAAAAATTGATTAAAAACGTTATTTGGCAAACGAAAATTTGTTCTGTTTTAGTCGTAAGATCAAAGGTGGGCTTAGAATAAAATAATTCTGAGTTCCGGAGTTTATTCTTTTTGGATAATTGACCTATTTCATTCCCTTAAAGCTCAAATATAACTTTTCCTAGTTCCTGGACTTTTTTTACGAAAAAATAATGAATAGATCAGAAAAAAAGTGTTATTTGACGAGGCAGGAAGTTTGATATGATATCAGTTCCATTCTGAGGACCGTAGCTAAATTATTCTAGGATTCTGGAAATTTCGAGCTCTTTCAGTTATAATCTTTGGGGTTCAACACATTCACCACGTGCTGAGAAATTCTTAAAGCTTGCTCTTTAAAAATCAGGATCAAAATTCACAGATGTTTCAGATCGGACCATTTTCATTCAATCAGAAAACCTATTCATCGAAACTCTATCAGAAAATTTTTTACATATTTTTAAGAAAACCCCAGAAATATTTGAACCGTTTGAGTTACCAATCAAGTGCCCTATTCATATGCAACATACACACACTTAGTCATTGCTCTAAAACTATTTCTGAAACACTTGGTCTCATTCAATTCGAGGTTGAAGATCAGTCACGAGTCGCTGATTGATCAAAAACTAACGAGGTTAAATCTGAATTCTGCAGAAACAGCACTACAAGAAGTCTGAACTTGTAGCTAAAGAATATCAAGATTTTTAGGAACGACCATTGGGAATAGATTCAATTTATGAAAATTCTATTGAGAGACCGCTTGGATAAAAAAACTGAACCAGTTGATTGAATAAATCCAAAACAATAACAATCGCTGAATTCTATCAATTTAATTATTGTATGGGAAACTACGAGGAGGGATTGTTTTTAAAGGAAAAAAATAACAACGACGAATTCAAAACATCCGATTTTTCGAATTTCGTCACAGGTTTTCTGGACACAGTGAAAGTTGTTTTTTCGTCGGAAGTTCTAATTTTTCGCAAAATATCCGCAGACAAATTCCAGAAACAAACAAGGGAAAAAAATAAAGTGCGGATTACGGTAGAATTTTGTCTGCTGAAAATTCTAAAAATACTTCGACAGAAAAAAGTACAAGGAACAGTTTGAGGGTAGAAATCGTAAATCACCATCGCTCGAACTTCTCAACAGCGTAGCTTAGCCGGTAGTGACATGGAACACTTACAATTATTGTTTTTTTCTAACGAGCTCGACTTTTAAAAAAGCTTTTAGAGATGGAAAATTACAGAGAAACGTTTTTTCGTTACAGTATTCCTTCTAATAGATGCCCACCCAAACCGCAAACTTCAGAACTCAATTATCTCAATTCCTGCGAAAGATATGAGACATTTGTCAACGAGATAATTGAGCTCAAAGTTGATGATTTGCATGAACTACAGTTAGAAGGAATACGGTAGGTTCATTCAAAGGAATGGCAAATGAAAAATAATTTTCTCGAAGTTTTTATGATAAGGTTTTGACACGGTTATTTGTTTCCTATTTTTGCACTTACCTAGCATTTTGTCTTCGAATACCAAATTATAAGCTCAGAAAATAGAATCAGACAAAAAAAAGGCGAGAATAGTTTGAGGAGTTTCAGAAAATTGAATCAAGTCTTTCAGTCCAAATCAAAGTTCTATTGATTCTCTCTGCTTCTATTCACAAGGAAGTTTTGATTAGATTTTTTTTTTAATCACACTGCCACTATATGCTTTTTCAGTGTTCATTGAGAAAACACTTTGTTCCGTTTTTCTTACCGGAACTTGCATAATTTCTAGATCCTGGAGCCAAAAGATCAGAAGCAAGTAATAAATTATGAGTGGATTGGGAAATTTACAAAAAAAACAAGGAAAGAATTGGTTCATTCTATGGACGGAGCTACAGTAATCATTTCCAAATCATAGAAAATCTAAAGGAACTGCAGAAAGAAGAATTGCTGACTGATTCGTTTACTATTAGGTGTTTTCAAGAAAATAAGAGAGAAGGAAAACAAACTTCATTGTCAAAAATCTTAATAACTGGAAACACATTTTTTGTTTTTCAGATGTTCCTTAATTCTGAGAAAACAGTATGACTAAATGAAGCTAGACGAGTCCCATTTGGATACCCAAAAATTATTTTAAAAGGGATTTACCGTATTTTTTCTAATAGGAGCCCAAAAAACCGTCAGCTTTGAGCTCAATTATCTCGATTCCTGTGAAAGATATCAAAAACTTTTCAACTGGTAAAAAAAGGTGAAATTATGATAAACATAATATCAATTGGGGAATTTTCGATATCTCTCATAGGAACCGATATAATTGACCTCAAAGTGGACGGCTTGGGTGGGCTTCTATTATATTAGAGAAAATAAGTATATTTGTTTTAGAATTCCAAGTTTCTACTATTAAAAAAAAAACAAAAAAATATATTTCCAGAAAAAACTCACCAATAAGATATGACATACACTCTCCTTCTGACTAGACTTTATGCAACTTTTTCATAAATTTAAATATTGAAAGTAGCTGTAGTTTGAGTCTATCAATCAATCACTTTTTGCAAATGACATATAGAGGGGGAGGAATTGTCTGTAATACGAAGAAGATAAGTGAATCAGTTAGGTAAAAGCCAGGTGTATGTGTCATAGTCGGAAGAACAAATGAGTTATTGAGTTATTGGGAATTAACCTTTTTCTGGACTGGACGACTGGACCTCGTGACTTTCGGAAGAAATCATGAGGGTGGAGTTTAAAACATTGAAAGATCAGAGTTTTATATTAGGCGAACATTTATGTGGCCTGGTTTAACTATTCTAAATATAGTTTCGTATTCACCTCGTGAATTTCGAAAGTGATATAAACTATGAAAAAATAAACTACCGTATTCTTCGTCTAGAAGAAGCTCACCCAAACCATCAGCTTTGAGCTTATTGATCTCGATTCTTTGGAAGGTATAAAAATGTGTTCATTAATAAAATAGTGGGGTTATTATGATGAATAATTTATCAGTTGACAATATTTTGATATCTTTTGAATGAACCGTAATAATTGAGCTCAAAATTGACGGTCTGTTTAGACTTCTATTAGAGGAAAAGGTAATTTTGACAAATCTCTTTGGTTCAATTTCCAAATTCAAGATACACAAACATTTGTTCTGGATCCTTTAAAAACAATTTTCGACACGTCCATGTACTCGTTCTGCGATATAAGAAAAGTTCGGTCTGACTTCCTCCTTTTGACCCTAACCTAATCAATCAAACTAGTAAATGTGTTTTTTTTTTCTTTTTCAAAGAACCTGGATTTCTGTTCCGTGCGCCACTTGTCTGTCAGCTTCAGATGAGTTCTCAATTTCTAGGCTTCAGCTAAACGAAAAAAGGGCAGAACTCTGAAAATAAGAAGTGAAAAGGGAAACATTGATTCTTGAAGAATTCATTGACTTGTATTTTCCTTTTTCCCAACAGATGAATTATTTTTTCTCTTCCCAGACTGTTTTTAACCATTTAAAAAAGATGACTCCAGGAAATGGCTGGAATGAATTTTTTCAGAAATCCGAAATGTTATTGTTCCGAAGGATCCTGGTTCCGGAATACGGAATCCGGACTAAAAATATCACGGATTCTCTGATGACTACAACAGATACAACACATTTTCTTTGTCCAAGCTCCTCTTTAGGCTTTCTCTCGCGTCTCTTCATCTTTCCCCTTTCCCTCTTCTTCCAAGACTCCGCCCATTTGCACGCGAAACATAGTGGACGGCGGAACCCGGGAGTTGTCGGTACACTCGCCACCCCTACCCCCACAGCCCGGCGACTCATAAACTTACCTGGCTGGGGGTATTCCGTGATCATGAAGACGGAATCCCCATGGCGAGGCCTATCCATTGCACTTTAGGATGGGCTGACCTGTGTGGCAGTCTCGAGTTGAGATTCGCCAACAGCTCAATTTTTGCGTAACGGGGCTGCGTTCGCGCGGCCCTGGAAAGTCTTGAAATCTCCTAGGTTTTCACTATGAATTCTGTTTGTTTTCAGCTGACATCTTCAGAAAAAGTTCAACGAATTCTAAAGTTCACAATTTATTAGAGACCAAATTTGCACAATAAATTTAAAACAGATTATCATCCAGATAAATTGGCAAGCATAAAGTACATTCAATGTTTATCAACAAAATTAATTGGGATAGAACGCGAAGTATTTGTCTTCTTTGGAGCCTCGATTTGAAGTTTTCCCTCATTTGAAATGGCAGATTTAACGGAACTCAAATCAGCATCCTCTGGAAGTAGAATCATCTTTGAGAAGGATCTTTTTGTGAATCCATGATCCGATTTTGTTTCCTGAGATCCTTCGATTTTCAATTCTCTTCCATCCAATTGGATTTTGAGGTCTTCTGGTTTGAAATGGGACACATCGACTTGAACGGAGAACGTGTTGTCGTTGTTCACGATCTGAAATTTGGGAAATTCGAATTTCTTATAAATTGAATTCAATAGAAATTAAATTACCTCTCCAATAGTATCCGAAAAACTGAATGAATTATGATCAGCATCTCTCCAATACGGTAATTGAACAGATCCATTCATATCATCCAAAAAATGATCAAGAACAGAAGAATCAGAGAATGGAGAACGGAGAAGAAGCATTTTTGAATTGAATACTCACTTGATGAAAGTGTGATGATTTCATCTGAATTCTCTTTTATTTTATACCCAACTGACTATCCATTCAAGAACATTCTAGAAGCTTCGAGAAGGAAGGAGGGCGCGCCGATGTTCCACCGAAGAGAGACGCAGACGGAAAAACACCTGCGTCTCTTTTCTGTTCACACTCTCTCCTTCTTATTGTGTGAAGAGAGGGTGGGTGTTTCGACGGGAATGCACTGGAAGGTTGTAGAAGATTCTAGAATAAAATGAGAATATGTATAAATACTCGATGGAATTCAGAAGAAACATCATTCACTCAATTTGTGAAAGCTCTTTAAAAACTATTTCAAAATGTCTGTCTACCATTATTATCGTCCAACTCAACGCTCTCTTTTCAATGAATTAATGGGAGATTTCGGAAGAATGGATCGTCATCTGGTTCCTTTTTGTCAAGGAAGAACGTCGTCTGAGGTAAGTTTCCAGAATATTCTGAATCCTTCTTCAAGTTCAAATTCTTTTGATTTTCAGATCGTAAACACGGTTGAAAAGTTTGCTGTGAATTTGAATGTTTCTCAATTCAAACCAGAAGATTTGAAGATCAATTTGGATGGAAGAACTCTGACAATTCAAGGAGAACAAGAAGTTAAAAATGAGCATGGATACTCGAAAAAGTCATTCTCTCGTGTCATCCTTCTTCCAGAAGACGTTGACGTCGCCGCAGTTGTTTCGAATCTTTCTGAAGACGGAAAGCTTTCGATCGAGGCTCCGAAGAAGGAAGCAATTCAAGGAAGATCGATTCCAATTCAGAAACAGGAGGCTATTCAACAGAATTCTTCTCAATAATTGTTGACTTTTTTTTTATTTTTGAACATTACTTGTATTTCTGATCTTTTAATTGTTTTCAGACGGTTTCGTAATAATAAAGTTATCATAAATCAGAATTCTTGTTTTAAAAACTGAAATTGAATAATTCAACACAAAAACTGGAATTTTCACTTTAGTCAAAACATTTTCTTGATAAAACGCTATTCTCCTTTGAAACGCTTCTTTTCTGGCTTTCTCTCGCGTCTCTTCTTCTTCTCCCTCTCCCTCTTCTCCCGAGACTCCGCCCACTTTGCACGCAAAACATAGTGGACGGCGGAACCCGGGAGATGTCGGTACACTCGCCACCCCTACCCCCACGGCCCGGCGACTCATAAACTTACCTGGCTGGGGGTATTCCGTGATCATGAAGACGGAATCCCCATGGCGAGGCCTATCCATTGCACTTTAGGATGGGCTGACCTGTGTGGCAGTCTCGAGTTGAGATTCGCCAACAGCTCAATTTTTGCGTAACGGGGCTGCGTTCGCGCGGCCCTGGAAAGTCTCTGAATTAGCCTAGTGATCACTAGTGAAGGCATCTGACCCAAACACTGGAATCGCATTTGAAGTGTTAAACTGTAGTATTTACAGAGATTGTAGTATTTACAGATAAATAACCTCACTACTTTTTTCAACAGAAGAGCTGTCCGCTGCTTAGATTCCTTTGCAAAATGGGATTTTGTGGCTTTTTTATCGGATCCATGCCGCACATAATTCAGAGCGTTCAACGATTCGGGGGGTACTGATCGACGTAGGGGTAAAAATCCACATCTCGGGTTAGGGATAAAGTATTCACACTGCGAATTTTTTTCATGTATTCTGTACCCCCCAATTGTGGATTTTGTACCCCCTTGAACTCCCGAATCGTTGTACCCTGAGGTACTACCCTCGGAATGAATTGCCAACGCTTTTGGAAAGAAAAATTTTCTAAAAATGATATTTATTTTATTAACAACTAAATTATAATTTAACCAAAATCCCTATCAAACAAATTCTATTAGAATGTCTTCTCCTATTTCCTCTTCGTCTTCTTCGCATCTTCATATCCAAATCCAATGGTATCAACTTCTGGGAATGTAACATTACATCGCGGAAGTGCAATTTTCAGTTGTCGAATGAATCCTTGTCGATGAGCAACATACGGAAGGAAGTAGAAATGAGCTCTTCGTAATGCTTTCAACTTCAAAAGCCAATAAACGGAACCATCAGTAATACATGGGTTCAGCACAATTTCCAAATCAGTTAACGTCTGTGCAGGCCGCCCTTGAGCCAGAAATTTCAATCCTTCGTCTCCAAAATAGTCGCAAAAATTGAGTTTCAGTTTCTCGATTCTACGAACATCTCGAAGATAGGTGAACCCTTCGTTGGCAATTGCTGAATCACTAGCGTCCACATCAACAATCCACGTGTAAGGTGCATTCGGCCACTGCTTCTCGTAGCTGATATCACCAGTTTGAAGAGGACGATCAGAGGATGGGTTTTCAGCTAAAGCATGAGGAATATATTCGCGCATTTCTCGTTGTCGTGTGATCGTTTGTCCATCTGACATCCGTACGCTTGTTGAGCCACACTCCATCAACCATTCCAAACAAGCGAGATCTGGTCCAATTTCGTGTACTCGTGCTTCGTTGTACCTGAAAACGAATTTCGTTAAATAGTTTGACAGTAGTTCTAGAATCTCACTTATTCGAAAGTTTCTCGGCTATTCTCCGCCGAAAACTGTACAAATTAATTGAGGGAAGTGTTGCATTGCCACGTATGGCTTGGCTACAACAAGGCATCGTCGTTGTGAGACGAGGAGAAAGACACCGGGCGAACATCTAAAGCTGAAATAGGTACTATTATTTTGGGACAAAACAATCGGAGCTGATGGTCCTACACCGACAGCTACCGTAACCTAAATATGTTATTTTCTGACCATTTTCTTGTTTTTTAAATTATTTTCATCAACTTTTATGTTACTTTTCGCCAAAAAAATCGGAAAATTCACATTTTAATAGAGAGAGAAAATGACGGAAAACGCATGAAAAATCGAGATAAATAATCCGGAAAATAAAAATATTTAACTTTCTGATTTTTTTGGAGAAAAATGGAGAGACGAAAATCAGAGAAAATTTGGAAAAATTCAGAAAATGAAAACAATTTTTGGTTACGGTAGTTGTCGTTGTGGGACCTTCAGCCACAGCCACCAGCGATTCTCGACCTGAATAATAGATATATCAAAGATGTTTTGAACGACATCTGCATAAAAATGAAAAAATAATTCGATAAAAAATAAAACTTTCATAACAAAACAGTCAATAACAAAATTATAAGTTACAACAAAAAACAAAATTCAAGTTGTCTTCATCTTTTTACAACGCGGCTCCACCGCTTCTTCTTCCGGCTCTAACGGCGCTTCTGGCTCTTCTGGAAGCGGCTCAGCTATGAGAAATTCGTAAGGAAGTTCCAGTTGAGCACAGAACATCTCCTTTCGCGATGAAACTGTTCGAACATTGTGGCATTTCACAACAAGCGACGTCTCCCATTTCGTCTTCTCATCACACATCCGGCGAGCTTCGCCTTCGTACCAATCATCGGGAACATCCACGTGGGACTGAAAAAATGAGTTTTCAGTTAAAAAACTCAAAAAAAAGTCAAACCTACCTTTGCAAAGAGGTAACAGTAAACGTTCCATTTCCATTTCCGACTGATTTCTTTTGATTCAAAGCCTCTTAACACTCCTCGAAACGCCGGGAGAAAATTGACGGCGTAGGCAGGAAGATTCATAACCACGTGGATTTGAGATTCTGGCTTCTCTTCTGCTTCCGATGTACTCTCCTCTTTCATCAGCCGAATCACATCATTTGCGATTTTCTCTTTGATAAACAATTTAGCATCCGTGTTGTGAATTTCAATTCGATCTTCCTTGATTTTATTCAATCCAACGTTCACTTTTAGCCATTTCACACTCTCCGGATTCAGATCGTTTGCCATTACTCTTCTTGGCTTCTTTTTCAGAGTTGCTGGAAGAACGAATGGACCGATTCCACAGCATGCATCGTAGACTATGGATTGGTTGTTGAATAGACCAGATACTCGCTCATGTTCATGGCTCAATCTAGAACCGAATACTTTTTTTTGAGGACAAAATTGAAATTTCAGCAAATTATGAAGTTTATGAGATTACTGTATTATTATTTTTTCGTTTCCAACTGAATTTCGTCGATTTTTCCGAAAAATTGAAATTTCTAATTGTGAAAAAAATTATTTCTGGAAACTTCTGGAATGTTCTCGAATTTTTTTTGAACTCCCGCCAAAACTGAAAACTCTGAAAAATTGTATTTTTCTTCGCTTTTTTGCAAACTTATTAGACCTTTTTAGGTTTTCTGGCTATTTTAAAAGATGCTTTCTCGATTTTTCCAGTTTTTTGTCTGAAATTTGATGGAACGATTTTCGCGAAGATTACTGTAGATTACTGTAGTTTTGTAGTATTTTTTTCAAATACAATGACGCACGTGGGTTCAGGCGAGGGGGTCAGAAAGCGCGCCCCAGTAAATTTTTCAAAAATTCTCATTTGGCTGCCGGCGCTTGTTGACTGACAATCATATGCATTAGGCCGACACGTTTATTTTTTCAATATTTTTCGATGTTTTCGTTCGTTTTCGTCCTTTTTTTCTCGTTTTTTCTCGTTTTTTCTCGTTTTTTCCCTATTCCATTTCCCCATTTTTCCCACCACGTGAAATCCACGTGTCATTTTGAATTAGTTAATTTCGGCTGGCCTACGAGTTAGCTGGGGCGAGCTTTCTGACCCCCTCGCCTGAACCCACGTGATGCGTCAAGATTGTTCTCCATTTTCATTTGATCGTGGTTGCAAAAAAACTATACAGTGATNTACAGTAATTGTCACGAAAACCGTTTCCCTCAAATTTCAGACAAAAAAACCGGAAAAATAGAGAAAGTATCTTTGAAAATAGCTAGAAAAGCTAAAAAGGTCTAAAATTTTTTTGCAAAAACTGAAAAATCGCTATCAGAGTTGTCAGTTTGGCGGGAATTCAAAAAAAAAGGATTCGAGAACATTCGAGAAATTTGCCAATTTTTGGAATTTTTTTCTTTTTTTCTATATGAATCTACATATTTTCTACACTGTTTATTTCAAAAATTACCTTGAATTCCAATAAACCTTGCTGAAATCCATCTTGAATCTCAATCCAGTCTCTTTGATCTCGGTCACATAATTCTCTTCTCCAGCCAACAACTCCAAATCCAAATTTCGATAAACATTAGTGATAATATTCCCTTTTTGAACCACAGTTTTGCAATTGCTCACTTTGTTTAAAAGAACTTCCGCTATCAGATGCCGGAATGGCAAAACCTCATCAGCGAAATTACAGTGGATGATGTGCCCTGTTTGTGTGTAACTGCTATATTCGATTCCTTCTGGAAGCACCGCCTTGAAAATAGACTTCGTATCCCAATTCTCGAATGTTAGATCCTTAGAAAGCGTCTCCCATTTCAGCGTCTTCTCATCTCCCAACTCTCTTTTCATCATCTCCACAATTTTCTGTTTTGTCTCATCTTCTTGTACTTTATCCGGATGAAAAACCAGATACTTTTTTCCTTCTTTCTCACTATCGATTGTGTTCTTTAGAGGTTTCAATTTATGACCAATCAGGTAGGGCTCCAATCGAACTCTTCTCGTTACAATTCCAGTATCTCTCGCTTCGATTTCAATCACTGGAAAATCGACTGCAACACGGAATGCGTCTTTTTCGAGCTTCTCCATTCCGCGAACAGCTTTTGGTGGTTGCAGGAGAGACATTGTAGACATCAGCCGTTTCAAAATTAACATAAAGTTGTAACAGAGATCTGGAAAGAAGCCATGAAAAGGTTTGGTTTTGGGTTGTTTAAAGGGGGCTTCGGCTAATTTTGTTGTATTTTTTTGCATCGAGACGTTCCTAAAGTTATGTCTTTTCAGAGTCGAAAAAAATTCAGAAAAAAATAGAATTCTCTGAAAAACTTCGTTGAAGTTTTTCATACAATCTTTCAGCCATTTGTGAGGTCAACGAGACTTTTTTGTTCTCTTCATCGGGTTTTCAACTGAATAACCTCATTTTTCTGAAAATACAAAAAAATATCTCGAAAATTGAATTGAAAACAGCGCAAACAGTAGCCTTGGACTAAGATTTCCGCGACCCTCCTGGACGAGAACTGAGCCTGCCTGCATTTCCAACAAAAAACCTTTCAGAGATTTCGATTTTTTTCCTGAATTCTTTCGAAGCAATATCATTAAAATACACACTATAATAACTTCGGGAACATTCCAATATAAAGAAACTTTTAAAAATCGATCGGAGCCCTGTTCAACGGAATCAGATGACCAAATCAATATGTGGAATTAGAACCAAGAGAAAAAGATTTCAAATAAATCAATTCAAACAAAGAATTCATATCACTCGTTCATTAAATTTATGATAACGAAACACGCCTTCAAAGTAGTCTTCTTTCGTCATCGTCCGTAACTTTGAGAACAGTTTCTGGAGCTTGCGAGGAGCATCCGTAACCCGACATGTGGGTCCGCTGAAGTACTCGTCAGAGATGTCGAGGAAATCGTTTTGTTGTGATCTGAAAAAAAACCCCAAATCCGTGAAACTTTTCAATTTCTAGTTACCGTAAAACCTGTAGTAGAGGGGCTCCCACACTGCTAAGTTTGAGCTGATTTATCTCAATTCCTATGCAAGGTATCAAAATGGTGGCAACTGATGAATTGCTTATCACAATATCAGTATGATTTTGTCAGTTAACACATTTTTTGATATCTTGCATAGGAATTGAGATAATTGAGCTCAAACTTGAGAGCCCTTCTATTACAGGTTTTACAGTATTCAAACTTTACTTTGCAAATACTCCCCCACGCGTATCTATCCCGATTCTCTGAAAATCAATCTGCGAATAGTAGTCGATGAGTTGAACAACAAGCTCTCCAACACTTTGCTCATTTGTAGTCTCACTTGGGACATACAGTGAGCCTTGTCGAGTTAGCACTTTCACAGCGTTATTCCAATCGTTTTCTTTGCTAAGCCACGGAGAGAGTTGTATGATGTCTGGGAGAACTGGGTAGGGCATTGCCTGAAAATAACATTATATTAATAGAGACTGTCCCATGATTTTTAGTATTACCTGAAGAAAGTGAATGACTAGAGCATTCACATGATACTTTGAGAACAGTCCTATCTTACTATCCAAAATGTTAGCTTCTTGAAACTTATTCGTGAGCCAATGAGCCAAAAGACCAACTCTCTCATCAAACTCAACGCAGGTTCTGACGAAAAGTGAACTTCGAATTGGCTCAATGTTTCCGAATTGAATATCAACTTGAATCTTCCTTTTTGACCAAATCCGAATTATTGGAATCTTCGCTTTGAAGAAAGGAAGTTCGACTTTTCCCACTTTTTGAGATATCAATTGTTTTCTAGTCCTCCGCATATACTCGTCTCGAAAATGTTCTTTTTCTGAGAAATTCTTCATAAAATCTTTCCAGTTTTTCAAATTTGTTGAAGGGAGAAGGACCTGGAAACAATAAAAAATAAATGAGGCAGAAAATAATTAATTGATACCAAATCTAGATCAGAAGAATTGCTCAGCAGAAGATTCGCTGCGCTACCGATTGGAACTAATCGAATGTCAGAAGCCTTGAAACAATTGTGAAGATCAGAACGAGCAAATTGGATCTTATTTTTGACGATATGAACATTTCGAAGATCTTTGTTCAGATTTTTGATAAAATCATGACAATTATAATCGATTTTTGGGAGCGAAGACTTGATTCGCTCATTGGAGAACGAGTAATCAATGTACGACACTGCAGATGATGATGTGGATGGCGAGTTCAGAGAGAAGGACCTTCGCTGGATAATTTTGAGGAACGATATCTTCCGAGCCATCTGTGGAGAACTTTTGTATGAATGCAGCTTTGGAGGCAATTTAGGAGAAGTATCATGTGAATTCGGACAATTCAATTTTTGACTCAATAAATACATATTGCTTACAATATTTAACTTTTTTATTGCACAATCAGATAAAAGTCTTATTTTTACAATTCGAAGCAATCCATACATTGCTGCCCACGGAAGCTGAGACAGTCTTTGCATCGACGAAGGAAGCTCTGGAAGTTGTTCTCGATTGAAAATTTAAAAAAAAACTAAAAATCCACTTACCGCTCCTTTTATCGAATCACAGTACCAATGACACTCGGCCATCCATTCCTTGCATGCTGTTTGGAAGCATTGTCGGATCATTGTGTCCACCTGAAGATCAGAAATCAGCATATGATATTAGTTATCTTTTAAATTTTTCTTACCTCTGAAACGGCTGGAATCCCAGTAGGCGGAACATTGTAGCAGGAGACGTAATATGCAAAAGAAACAACGAAAAAGGCAAGGACCGGCAGGTTCGTGCGCATGATGATCCGTGAATGTCGTCTTATTGACAACAATTATCTCTCCTTGAAGATATTCCTGCCCACCCACTTTTATTCAAATTATGTGTGATGATCACCTACAGCGCGCGACGCGACAAAAGTCGGCGAAACGAAGAAGAGAAAGAGGTTCGATAATTTTATTCTTACATAGCCAAAACTAATACACTTTCGGAAAAAAGGACACTCGTTTTGGATGTGTCGTGTTACTAATAAAAACCAAGATGGAAAACAGAGTTTAGAGAGAAAAATCGGCTAGGTGGGGAAAGAAACGAACAATTTAGTGGTGTCCAACTTCGACCTCACCCTCCTTCTTGAGTGGGTTGTACTTCTTGAAATACTCCTTGTCAGCCAACTTTTGGCGAATTCCCCACCAGTGCTCGACCTCGTGATGGTGGTGATCCTCCTTTCCTTTAGTGTATTGAACCATGTGGCGTGGCTTGACTGAAAAACGTTACAGCTTAAAATTGTGAATAAGTGTTTTTTATTGAAAATGAAGTGTTATTTTTGTGAAGATTTATCTTTTTTTGATATAGTACATCAACCTTTAGTAAATTAATATAGCCCGAAACGGAGTTGATTAAAGAAAAGGCTAGCTGGTTATTTTCACATTTTACGAAAACGGCTCCTAGCCAGAGACGCACGGACAGCTCACTCGGACACTTTCGGACAACGAGAACTGTCTGAAACTCGGACAAATGACACCTGTCCGAGTGGATTGTCTTTGCATCTCTGCTCCTAGCTTCTCGGAAACTGTATCATAAATACTCACTTGGCAGAACAAATTTGTATACTCCATAGAGGATGACTCCTGAGTAGATGTAGAAACGGAAGACTGGGAGGTACTTCCAGCAATGGCGCCACGACCACATTCTCAACTGAAAAGAGCCATTTGCATAACCATCAGTTTTACAGAAAGTGTTACATATTCCTGAGCGGTCCATGGCCGGGCTGGCATGCGTGGGTGGAGGTCAGTGGCCGGGATTGGAGCATTTGGGGATGCAACCACGACGGCGGCTCCCTTGACAGTTTCGGCAGTCCATTTCGCTGCCTCAAAAAGCTTTCCGACGACCATAGTTGATTACCTGGAACAGTTTCAGATTTTTGAAAGAGTGAACAGCGTTATTCAAATTTAAAAAACTACTTTTGCGACATACTTGACCAGAAAATTCGAAAAAAAGTGGATAAGAAGTCCGAACAAACCGAAAAAACATCAGAAACATAAATCTTATTTTTTCTTTCGAACTTCAGTTTTTTATTTGCGAAAAATCGATGGTTTTGCTGAAAAAATGCTGGAAAAATGGGGATGAAGACAAAAACTGACGGGCGGTGTTGCTCCCGCCCCTTGTCGCAAGGGTGCGGCACGGCAGTTGGCAACCGCCGCAGTGTTTTGTGACGTCGCGTTTTTTGATTGCCGCCCTCCTCTTTTTTGAACACGTTCTCTGTCTGCAAGCACACATTCTCGGTCATCGTCGTTTGTTTTTTGTTTCAATAGTCTCTAAATTTATCAGAAGCATTTTATCGTCCTACGAATCCTGTTTTTTCCTCTTTGCGCTCGTTCAGAATATTTTCAGATTTTTTCAACTTTTCAATTTATTCGCTTCCGGTCATTATCAAACGGATCATAATTAAAAATCACACTGTTTCTGAATAACATTATCTTATTCATCATAGCCATATAGACATCCTCCTATTCTCCCATGAAAATGCGAATTCAGTCTTAACCACATTTTGCACTTGCCCCTTCATGTTTCTGTCAATTATCTTCCGTTCTGAAATTACGTTTCCATGTTTAGTCTTATCGACTTTCTGTACAGTGCTGGCACATCGATGTGACAGCTAATCAATAGCTTTGAAGGTCACTGGCACTCACTTCGCTTTTCCTTCCTCGTCTATTGATTCTCGCACCTTTTCCGACATCTCTCGACGCTGTTCTCTCATGAGCCCTCCAGATCAATACTGCCATGTCCCGCTGAGCGATTTTTTCAATTCGTGCAGTGGCAGCGACTTGGCAGAGCGTCTGGCAATCCCCAGTAGCGTCTATCCATGCATTCTATTGAACTAAATTCGCCATTTCTTTTTTTCGCAATGTGTGTTTTTTCAGGCAACAATGAACTCGAACGGCCCTCTTCAAGAGCATGGCAAACGACGTGTTGCATATTACTACGACTCAAACATTGGAAACTACTACTACGGACAGGGTCATGTCATGAAACCGCATCGTATCCGCATGACTCATCATCTGGTTTTGAACTATGGACTCTACCGGAGTATGGAAATCTTTGTAAGTTAATGATGTCTTTATCCTCGTTGTCAATGTCGTTTTCCAGCGTCCATTCCCAGCAACTTTTGACGACATGACTCGATTCCATAGCGAGGAGTACATGTTGTTCTTGAAATCCGCCAACCCAGACAATTTGAAGTCTTTCAACAAACAAATGTTGAAATGTGAGTTTAAAGATCTATGAGTGAAAGTACCATCCATGTTTCAGTCAATGTCGGAGAAGATTGTCCACTGTTTGATGGTCTCTATGAGTTCTGCCAGCTCAGCTCTGGAGGCTCTCTGGCTGCTGCCACTAAGCTCAACAAGCAGAAGGTGGACATTGCAATCAACTGGATGGGAGGACTTCACCACGCCAAGAAGAGCGAGGCTTCTGGATTCTGCTACACCAACGACATTGTTCTTGGTATTCTCGAGCTTCTCAAGTACCACAAGCGTGTTCTGTACGTCGATATCGATGTTCATCACGGAGATGGTGTCGAGGAGGCTTTTTATACAACCGATCGCGTCATGACTGTGTCATTCCACAAGTACGGAGATTTCTTCCCAGGAACTGGAGATCTGAAGGATATTGGAGCCGGGAAGGGAAAGCTCTACTCCGTCAATGTTCCACTTCGTGATGGAATCACCGACTCGTCGTATCAAAGCATTTTCAAGCCAATCATGACCAAAGTCATGGAACGTTTCGATCCATCCGCCGTCGTTCTTCAATGTGGAGCTGATTCGTTGAATGGAGACCGACTCGGACCATTCAATCTCACATTGAAGGGACACGGAGAGTGCGCTCGCTTCTTCCGAAGCTACAATGTCCCACTTATGATGGTTGGAGGAGGTGGATATACTCCACGAAACGTTGCCCGGTGTTGGACATACGAGACATCGATCGCTGTTGACAGAGAGGTCGCAAATGAGTTGCCATACAATGACTATTTTGAGTACTTCGGACCAAATTACCGTCTTCATATTGAACAATCCAATGCCAATAACGAGAACAACCCAGAACTTCTGACCAAGCTTCAAGCTGATGTTATTGCCAACCTCGAAAAACTCACATTTGTTCCGAGTGTTCAAATGAGACGTAAGATTTTTTCTAAACAGGATACATCCAACTAATCAAGTCTTTTCAGCAATCGAAGACGATGCTCTGAGGTCAATGAATGACAGTTCGGCTCTTGTTGACATGGCGGATCCAGATCGACGCCTACCAGCAGAGGTCACCGATCAGATGATCCAAGACGAAGGGGACTTTTACGATGGGGAACGTGAAGGAGATGATCGCAGGAACGAGAGTGATGGAAAGAGAGCAGCTCAGTTGGACTCAGAAGGCGGAAAGTAGAAACCATTAAAGTTTCAGTCGCATAATTATCAGCCTTGCTCTCTGTTATCCCCAATTTCTGAACAATACTGTATTTCTTATACTTCTTGTTTCATGTTCTCCACCGTTTCCCACCGTCTTACAACAGTCAATTTAACTCTTCTCGCCTGTTTTATTTATTTTATCATCACCATCCCAATTCAACCCTATTTTATATTTAAGAGATCTCGCCTATCCCTTCACTATTCATTCTTCTTTCTCCTGAGCTCCCAATATCTCATCTCTTCCCATCCCCCAAACCCACAATACCCCCACCCCTACCCCCTATTGAGAGCTAATCCAGTAACTTTTTTACCCTCTTTCTCTACTCCGCTTCAGCATTCGTTCCTTTTTCACAATTCTAACTGAAAATATGATTGTGTATTTTGTACATGTTTTTCTTTCTTTTTTTCCTTTCTTGATACATTTATTTAATAAAATTGGACCGATTGCATCTGGCGCCGCCCGCTCTCTTGGGTCTATTTTTTATTCAGAAATCGTCGTATGAAATTGAATTTCACGGCGTTGGGGGATGCCTCCCAGACTAAAGTTTGAAGCTCTTTCTGGCTCCATTATTCTTCTTCATCGTCATCAACATCACAGTCTAGAAGCAGTCCATGTAATTATGATGACACGAATTATAAAAAGAAATGAGAAGAGCTCGAAAAACTGAAAAACGCCTTCTCATATTTCAGAATTTATCTCGTTTTTATATTCGTCGTCTAAAATTCTCTATTTTTTTCATTTTCTGAGAAAAAGAGAGAAAAATAGGGCTCCCGAAAACAATTGCATCATAAAAATCCACTTTGCCAAATTTCTATGCCCCCACCTGTGGTAATCGGCTCGAACTTTTTTCTTTGGAATTTCTTCTTTTTGCTGCTTTTTTTCGTAAATGTGTGCTCATTTGAAAGATCTTTTGAAAGAAAATGAGCAAAGTAGAAGATAAACAACGGAAAAGAATATTCAATTTCGAAGGGAAACGCGCACCGATTTCCGGTTAGATATCAAGCATTGCGGCGTCTTTTTTCGCTCATTTGAACACTTTTTTTCTATTTAGCTAACGCACTTTTTTAAATTATAAAGAATTTAAAACGATTTTTTGAAGCGGTATGCTCTGTAAATGCGCTCAATTGCTAATAAACATAATTCTACAGGTAAATTATCGTTAATCTCGACGAGGGTACGATGAATTTGAACTTTCCCGAAATCGAACTCGTTCGAATTAGAACTGTCCCTTTTTCGAACACGCCCAGAACAGAAAAAGAACGGAATCGAACTGTTCCAACTCGAACTGATTCGGTGTCGAACTGTCCCGAATTGGAACTCTGTTAGCAACAGGGCGCGCTTGCTTTTTTAAATTATTTTTGTGAGACCCCGCAAATTCCGGGGAAAGAAAAAACCGGGGAAAAAATCGCGCTTGCATTACCTTTGAAAATTTCAAGTTTTCTCCAGAAAAAAACATCATTTTTACAACAAAAAAAGCGTTTTTATTTGAATACAGTGAGGAAAAAAACAATTTGAAAATAGAAAATATGTGTTAAAAAAGAAAGAATTCATGACTTTTAAACAGAATGGGCGTCGGAGATGGTGTCTAATAAATTGAGACCAGTGAAAGGCATAATTGGCGGGATTGGCTGATTTATTAGCGTCTTGATGAGTCTCCCGTCCTTCAATGCGTTGGTGAGTTTTCTGTTTCGATTCACCTGAAGTGTAGTAAAAAATCAATTTAGGTGTTCAAGAGTAGAAACAGACCTGGAAATTCGGATTTAGTTTCATCTCATTCCAATCCATCTTTGTATGCTAACTTCACTACTAACTTCACTTCTGACAAAATCCTCGTCGTGTCTCGCATGCTGATTTTTAACAGTGAACGAGTTGTTCATTCTGTCGAAATGATAAGCTGAATCGCATCGAGCTCGTCTTTCTCTGGGAAAAATATTGTTTTATAGTAAAGCTGCAATTTTTACCGCTCGACACAGTAAAAAAGCTCTGTTCCATTTTTGTTCATTTTTTTGAATCGCATTGCATATCCTTGAACTTGGACGATCGGCTTGTTTTTACGAGGAGTCATTTTCTGTAAAAGTTTATATTCTCGAAACGGGAAGAGAAATCCGCAAAACATCCAAAATAAGTGAAAAAAGTTCTTTTCTGGAGAAAACATGCAAAATTTGTTGACAAAAATGAGACCCCGCAAATTCCGGGGAAAGAAAAAACCGGGGAAAGTGGGCGGAGTCGAGAAAAACCGTGCGGCAAAACCGTGCCAGGGTTACAATTTAGG